TAAAATTTTCTGACCTTATGTATTATGATAGTATAATTCATAATACATAAAATCAGAAAATACCGAGGTCTTATCTTTTTTATAAGAAATAAAATAAATTATAGTTTAAAAATAGGAGCGATCAGAATAATCGCTGAATGCCTAAAAAAACGTAGTGTTTATTCTGATTTATTTTTAAGCATTTATAGCATTTTATTAAAAATAAACATTTAGTAACATTTATTAACACATTTATTAACATTAATTAACATTTATTAACATATAACATAAACATTTAACATTTTATAAACATAAACATTAAACATAAACATTTAACATTTAACACTAAACATTTAACATTTAACATTAAACATTAAACATTAATATTAAACATAAATATTTTACATTTTATTCACATTTTAAGTGGAATTTATATTGGGTATAGGGCCTTCTTGTTCCTCGGCTTGCTCGTTTCGTTCATCCCAATAATTTCGGGCTTCTCTGGTCCGATGTTCTCGGTCGCGTAATGTGCGAATACTTGTTCGGTGACGCTGCTTCGCTGAACGCAAAGCTTCTCTAGCTATTGCTTGGAGCCATATGGCTACAGCAAGCAGCATCTAATTGTAAATATATATACAATATATTTTTGTTATATAAATGTGCAACGAGATAATTTATATAATTTATATGTATACCTCCTTAATTAATTAATTATTTTATTTATTTATTTATTTATATTTTTATTTATTTATTTATTTTTTTGTCTGTTTATTAATATTTTTCAAAAAAATTTATAGTTATGGAATAAAAATATCACACACCATAAATCGCTTTTATAATACGCGTATTGTACAAAGGATGTAGACCTTCCTCCCGGCCAAACCATGTAAATTCAATAGTTAAATGATCCTGTATTGCTTCCTTAAAAGACAGATTGACGGCTTCTTTAGCAGTGAAACCTCCCACACGTAGAAAGTAATTCACCTATGTAAGAAAATAAAAAATATATTGATTACCTGAATGTAGTCTTTATGAAAACACAAAATTAATGTTTCGTTAGATAACTGAAAATATTGGAAATACAAATAAAAAGTTAATTAATTTCTTTGTTTAAATAATTCACAGATAGACCAATGAAGCGAGTTTGAAGATATAATGCCGAAAATGTATGCCAAATATATCAAACAGTGATATATTTTACATAGTGATCTATTTTTTTTACATAGTCAAAATTTTGTATGTAACACATTATTTTTGCTTCAATTTACCCACTTCTTCATATGATTCTTCATCCACATTTTCGAATGATATCATATCTGCCTCTGTATAAATTGATAAAAGTATCGGCTTTTGTTGTATTCAATGTCGATTTTTATTTTTTTGAACAGTTCTGTCGATTTGATCCAATTTATTGTTCATTTTTCTGCAAACAATGTAAACATTTATGTATATATATATATA